TGTTGTGCGCCTGACAGCCACTGAGGATTTATGGTTGTTCTCAGATGTAGCCCGACTAGTCTCTCAAAGGTTTTGAGAAGAAAGGACGATAGACTGATTGGTCTGAAGTTCTTTGGGGTTGAGTGTGAGGCTTTCCCTGCTTTGAGGATAAAGACTATTTTAGCCTTAAGCCAAGCGTGAGGAATTTTTCCCGGCTTATTGTAATTGAGCCGGAATGACCTGGTCGGGACCAGGTGATTCGAAGGAACTAAAGCTATTTATTGTCCAGCTGGTGTTCCTTTTTGTGAGGATGTGCGCCATCGATGTTGCCGGGCCATCAGTGGGGGGGTCTGCCGGCTCGATGGTTGTGCACCCTGGAAAATGTGTCTCGAGTAGAATATGTAGGGATTCCTCACTAGAGTTAGTCCACGTACCATCCATTCTCTTCAGATATCCCACCGAGGAGGTAGTTTTTTTAGAGGATTTCACGTAGCCTTGCGGCTTCCTCAATGTCGGAGCATTATTTTTTCCCAGAGGCCCTTTTTGCTTTCCTATGTCTTTCTTGTATAGCGCTAGACTGCTTTTGTAGTTTGCCCAGTGATACATCGCGACACATCACCTCGAAATCCCGCATCAGCGTCGAATCCGAAGAGTAGCCTCGACTGGGTTGTCGACAGGACGCGCCTCGGCTTCCGCATCCGACTTATAGACCTTTATGGTCACGGAGCTGAAGCCGAAGTTCAACTCTCCCTTTCCTGCCTATCAGGGCCAGCGACTCCTTGCTGAGCACGAGCAGGGCCTGGCTCATCGTCCCCTGCGTCGCCTCAACCTTGAGTCACTCGTCGTTGCATCTCTGCAGCATTTTTAGGATGCGCTCCGGCTCCTTAATAGAAGCCGGCACCCAAATCCGAGCCCTAAGTCGGCTGGGAACCTCGCTCCAACTGCAACGAGTTTGGCCCCAGCATAAACCTCTCCGATCTACGCTACCGCTACTTTGTATTACTGCACGGAGCGCTCGTGGCTCATGGTTCCCCTGGAACCATCTTGCCGACTTGGGGTGGTCCGGTATCTTTTTGTATCAGCTCGAAGTAGCTGTCGACCAATGCTGCTTCCACCCACTTCCACTGGCTCCTCGGGATGTTTCCGTCTGCAATGCCTCTGTACAGGACACCTATGAGTGTCCTTTCCTTGGTAATTTGTGCTGGATCCTTGAGCGCTTCGCAGCGGGTCCAGGAATCTCCTGGGAGCGCTGCCTCTTTGGCTGCGGAGCCTCCCTCCGGGAATTCTTGCTGAAGGCAGGGAACACTGTCGTAGACCACTCCACATTCTTCAGCCAGTCTGCTGATGGGCTGGGATTAGCACTGGCGTTTTGCCGACGGAGTATGTGCCCAGCACTTCTCTTTTCGGCATGGTATATGTATTAGATTTGTGGTAAAAATGGATGTGTGTAACGCAGAGAAGGAGACGTTTCCGACCCCATAAAGTATATATATTCTTGATCAGCATCAATAGCCGAGTCGATATAGCCATGCCTGTCTGTCCGTCTGTCTGTCTGTCTGTCCGTCTTGTTGAGCGCCTAAATCTCAGAGACTATAAGAGCTAGGGCAACCAAATTTGGTTTCCAGGCTCATGTGATATCACACTGCTACAAGTGTATTTAAAAATTTAGCCCCGCCCCCTTCCGCCCCCACAAAGGACGAAAATCTGTGGCTGGCACATTTTTAAAGATACGATAAAACTAAAAGCTCAGTATCGTAGAGAATGCCCATATCTACCAGATTGCCGAATCTGAATTAGATCGGATCATAATTATAGCCGGAATGAAGAAATTAATTTTCTGTTGGTTCTTCCGCTTCCTCCTGACAGAGACCCATTACCTATCTCTTTCTCGCTCGCACACTCTGCCGCGTTCAGTGCGCGAGCGACCTCTAGCGAAAAAGATGTAGAATCTAAATGGTACTTGTATAATCTACATGTTAGATGTAGAATATACATTGTAGATGTAGATAGCAGATGTAGCAAAAAAATGTAAAATGTAAAATTTTTTTATTATTTTAAAATTCAAAAAAATCATATGCTCAAAAATGTATATACCGACTGAGTACGGGTGTAAATAGAGTCGCGTCCCCAGAAGCGACTCGCACGTTCCTTCTCGTTTTCTTTTGGTTTCATATAATGGGTTTGCCAAAATAAAAAGCATTATTATCAAAAATATTTCAAAACATTTTTTTTGTTTATGTGAAATATCGCTAAATATTTTGGGAATGAAGTACTATCGATATCAAAAACTTGCGAAAACCACACAAATTTAAATTCGTACAAATATTTTTAAAGTCGTTACTGCATATTTTTTTGAACACTGGAGCCTGGAAAAAAAGCCGCAATTGGAAAACTCGGCTTTAAGTATGGCTGGAATAATTTTAATACTATTTATAAAAAATAAATCATCTCTAAATTGTTATGTATTTTTATTTCAGATTGCTTAACCATCAGTGCCAAATGTTGTTTTTCTCTGCTACCTATGATAGGGAGGTTATGGACTTTGCTCAGCTAATAGTTACTGAGCCAACAATAATAAGGTAATACAACTTTTAGTACTACATACACTACTGGTCAAAATAATAAGTACAGAGGTATCTTGTTAGTTTGTTATTAAATATCTCTTATGTTTTTGAAATCATGGCTGCCAACTGTTTATATTTTGAAAGGTTACAGTGTTGCGAAGCATTTAAGTTCAAAATGAAAGTGGGGAACCCCACCTATTCAATTCTAAGCTCCAATTTGTGCTGGATGGGCATTTTTGGTCTGGTCAAAATAATAAGTACACTTGTGAAATTTATAATTTTTTAAGGATTATATCAGGATTTCGACAAAGGTTTGTTGTTTTTAATTGACTCCTCGCATATTTAAGTACATGACGCTAAAAAAAATTCTTCAGATGGGCCGAAAAAAGCATTGTACTGAAGAAGAAAAGACGATTGCCAAAAATCTTCAAAAAGAAGTGAAAAGTCTTCGGGATATTGCCAAAAGTCTTGGACGATCGGTTTGTTTTGTTCAGAATGCCTTAAAACCAAAAGTGCTAACTGAAAATCGAGGACGGAAGAAAAAATCTTCACCAACAACGGACAGCCGCATCGTATGTCTTGCAAAAAAGGATGCGTTCATGTCTTCCAAGGCCATTTCCGGAGAAATTGGAAATGTAATATCATCTCGGACAGTTCGTCGCAGACTACAATATGCAGACTTACCAGGACGTATAGCCCGAAAAGTTCCCTTGCTCCGAGGAAAAAATTTTCAGACGAGGAAACAATTTGCCGAAAATCATTTGGCATGGTCTGGGCCAGATGGGTCTAAAAAGTGGAATAACATATTATGGAGCGACGAATCAAAAATAAATCTTTTTGGTAATGACTCCAGAAGATATGTACGACGACCCAAAGGCAAAGAATTCGACGTCCGGTACACAAAAAAAATGGTTAAGCACGGAGGCGGTTGCATAATGGTCTGGGGCTGTTTTTCTTGGCATGGCGTTGGGCCGATACATCGCATAACTGATACTATGACCAAATTTGGATATAAAAACATTTTGACTGACATTATGCATCCATATGCTGAGGAAAACATGCCCTTGAGTTGGGTGTTTCAACAGGACAACGACCCGAAACACACCTCAAAGCTGGTCAAGGATTGGTTCACAGAAAACAAGGCCAACGTTATGAATTGGCCAAGTCAGTCTCCCGACTTAAACCCTATTGAAAACTTATGGGGAGACTTAAAACGGCGAATTGGAACGAATACCTTTCGAAATGCCCAAGAATTGTGGGAATTCGTCCAAAAAACCTGGTATGAAATTCCAGTGGAGACCTGCCGCAAACTTATTGTCAGTATGCCAAAAAGAATCGCCAAAGTGATACAAAATAAGGGTGGCTATACTGGATATTAACATGGAATTATAAATAATAAAAAAAAAATTGAAAAATTTAGATACGCTTTGAGTTTTTGGCTTTGTAGAATTGCTGTACTTATTATTTTGACCACCCCTTGTTTATGTTTTTTAGATAAAACCGATCATAAACTATATATTTGAAGCGAAAATTGATTATGTTAAATGTTTTAATATTCGACTGTAGGTTAGTAATCTAAAAGTTAAGTGGATTTTTTCTTTATGTTTTAAAAAAAAGTTTTATGAGACGTGAAAGAATGCTCATGAGCGTGTACTTATTATTTTGACCAGTAGTGTATATATGTACCTACTATTAATGCACCCATTGAACACATGCTCAACATTATAAATAAAAAACGATGGGGAATGTTTTCTACCCCGAACTCAGTCAGAAAATACAGCTGTGAACATTGAAATAGTAGTTCCGCACGTCACCATTTTCGAAACTGTTTTGAGACACTTCCAGTCTTTCAAATTGAGCAATTGATATATTTTTTAATAGACTGGAATGCAAACAATAGAAAACAGAAGAAATCATATTGAATCAAATCAACAGAAAAAATTCTTCTTGTTATACCCGTACTCAAAAAAGAGTTAAGGGGTATATTAGATTTGTGATAAAAGTGGATGTGTGTAACGCAGAGAAGGAAACGTTTCCGACCCCATAAAGTATATATATTCTTGATCAGCATCAATAGCCGAGTCGATATAGCCATGTCTGTCTGTCCGTCTGTCTGTCTTGTTGAGCGCCTAGATCTCAGAGACTATAAGAGCTAGGGCAACCAAATTTGGTTTCCAGACTCATGTGATATCCCACTGCTACAAGTGTATTTCAAAATTTCGCCCCGCCCCGCCCTCGCTCGCACACCCTGCCGCGTTCAGTGCTCGAGCAACCCCTAGCAGAGGAGATGTAGAATCTAAATGGAACATGTACAATCTACATGTTAGATGTAGAATAGACATTGTATATGTAGATGTAGATAGCAGATGTAGAAAAAAAATGTAAAATGTAAAATTTTTTTTTTTCTAAAATTCTAAACACTTCCGTTTTGGCAGCCGTGTGTGACTGACGTGTTTTTTTTTTCCGGTGTTTTTTCTTAACTCCCTTTGTTCAATCTTGTTTAATGTGCAATCGTCGACTGTTTTCTGCTGATTTTAAGATCTAAAAACCTCTTGAATCAAAGAGCTTCAACTAATTATTATACTTTGTCGGTCCTAATAGTGCTTTTCATTTATAGAAGCTGGTAAGTCCCTGGCAGGCTGGTGAAACCACCAGCGAAGATGGCTGACGCCACCATAGTGGCGTCAGGAGTAAAGCGTGCATCTGAGAGCGCTGCAAACAAGACTATGGATATCAAAAAGTTTATAGCAGGGTCTAGGCAGGATTTCAATCGGGAAAATAAAATCGTACATACAAGCGAAATGGAAAATAGCACCAATACAAACAAAGATAGTAATACATTTGCTGCCGGTAGCGTGTCTCCAAATGACAGTAAAATCAAACAACATGACATAAATCTGTATGAGCTCTCTTTTAAAGGAGAAGCCTGTGTTCTTCTTGCAACTAAACGTAGCAGTATTTTTGAAAATAAAAATATAAAAAGTGACCTTTATCTCTTTGAAAAAATTAAACATACAAATCTTGATGGACTTAAGCGCATAAACCCCCTTGCAGCGACTCTATACAAACTGTACTTTAATACCCCTTATGATGCGAATGCTTTTGTGCTTAACGATGAATTAAAAAAATTAAATATCGATATTTTTATTCCAAAGAACTTCACTGAAACCGTAGGTGTCATTAGGGGCATTCCTACAAACATCTCTGACATAAAACTTCTTGACAATCTTTCCTCGATAATTAAAATAAACAGTGTTGAACGCATTTTAAGAAAATCTAAAAATGAAGCGAATGAAGTAGTTCTTGAACCAACTGAGACTGTCAAAATTTCTTTTGCAGGCACAGAAATCCCATCGTCTGTTCAAATTTATGACATATGCTCGCTAAAAGTCAGTTATTATATTCCTGCGGTTAGACAGTGTTACAATTGTGGTCGCTTAGGACATACAGCCTCACGTTGTAAGTCACAAAAGCGTTGCAAAAAATGTGGTAGCAATACTTGCAATGAAAGTTGCAACATTAACAAGTGCATCTTGTGTCAGTGTGATGGGCACAATGCTTTTGAGAGAAACAAATGTCAGGTATGGGCCAAAGAAGTCGACATAAATAAAATTATGACCATTAAAAAATTAGCCAGGAAAGAAGCCTTAAAGCAATTTTCTTTCCAACAAAACTATGATCGCAATCTTGACTACGACAAAGAATTTCCTCAGATTATCCACAAAAATCAGTTCAATCAAAATAATACCAAATCAAATGATCAAATCTCCCAAGTCATCAACAAGAATGAAGAAGCTAACCATGTTTTAAAAAAGCACTCCTATAGCAGCAGACTTGTTCAACGAACTGTAGGCTTTGCGGAAACAAAAACCGCACTTCTCACTAGATTCATACACTAATGACTCCAGTGATCATGCCTATAAATTTCCCAACAAGGAAAATGGGGACACTCTAAGTAGTGTCAACAGCACTATAGTTCAAGAAATTCTTGAACTTATCACTCCTGTACTGCTCTTGTCAGCTAACGGCACTAATATTCTTCAAAACATCAGAGGAAAAGTCCTACAGGGTAGCTCGCATCACAGCAAACAGCATGTAGGGAAGAATATAGACATTTTACATAATAATGACTGTTAAAATCTTACAGCTCAATGTCCAATCTCTTAAAAACAATAAAAATGACATAGAATATACCCTTAACTCTGGTGAATATAGCATTGCTATTTTCTCCGAAGTTTTTTCTCATGATACTACCTATAGAAAACTGATCAATTATGATCTTATTGAAAAACATAGAGATGATGGTTACGGTGGAGTAGCCATTGCTTTTAAAAACGGTATAAAACTTAAAAAGGAAGTCTACAACTCAGATCATGATGTTCTCATCGCCAAAACATGCAACTTAAACAAAAACTTTACCATTGTCTCAGTCTACTTTGAACCTTCAATGAAGACAGATACTTTTAAAAATGTAATTCAAGACATTGTTGAAAAGCTTGATGGCAGGAGCAACGTGATTTTTGCTGGAGATTTCAATGCAAAAAACACCTGCTTTGGTGACTACGTCACGAATGCCAAGGGTAGATTTCTGGAAGACTATATGAGTAATTCTGGCTATAAGTGTTTAAATGATGGAAACTGCACCTTTAGACGTCATATCGACAGTCAAAGCGGTTCTGTTTTGGATCTAACATTCACAAACTGCTGTGAAAATATCACTTGGAGCTGTAATTCCACTTTTGTTGGAGGCAGCCACCATCACCCTATCTCAATAATAATACCAGAAACCAAAGAGAAGCCGAGGCTCTTTCTTGCCAAAAACAGACTCCTTAGAAGACTTGCAGGTGCTACGCTAGCAGGAAATATATCAAACATCACGAATAGCCTAACAAACAGTATTAGGGTCTCAACTTATGCCTTAAGCAACATTAGATGCCCCAAAGCTTGGTGGAATCCAGAATTACAGCTGCTGCACTCCAAATATACAGAATCACAAATCCTGGCACAGAGAGCTCCAAGTCTGAACAACTATATAAGAGTGGTTAACCTGAAAACAGAATGGAAAAAGGCAGTAAAGCTTGCAAAAAAGAACTCGTATGCCAACAAAATTGATCTACTCAATCAACAGCCAAACTCAAGGAAAGCCTGGCTTTTCTTGAGGAACATCAAGTCCTTCAATGATCCTTTAAAATCAAGCTTTAGTTCAGAATGGTCTTCTCCGTACCTTGAGTTTCTTAGAAGACAAGTCTCTGTATCAGCGAAAGTTCAAACATATTTTCCTAGAAAAACTTCTCTGAACATTGATTCTTTTGACTTGAGTGACCTGTCTGCTGTTCTCAACAGAGGCAGAAACACTGCGGGAGGTATAGACGGAATTACATATGATATGGTAAAAGCACTCAGTAGTCCAGCACAGAACAATCTTATACAAGAATACAACAAGCTATTTACAAAGTGTAGAGTCCCTGATCAATGGCGTTCCATCAAAGTCATTCCCATCCCAAAGCGCGGTAAGGATCTCAGCATTTATCAAAACTATCGCCCTATCTCGCTCATCTCTGTGTTGGCTAAAACTCTTAATCTAATGATTAAGAATCGACTCGATATGTTCTTAGAAGAACACAATACCATGCCCAGACGGACTTATGCATACCAAAAAGGCAAATCAGCAGCCATGTGTATAAATGATCTTATCAATACCATGGCCCATGAGAAAAAACGGGGAAAATCGGTTGTAACTGTCGTTGTAGACATAGATAATGCATATAACTGTGTTAATCTACAAACCCTACAAATGTTAATGGATCATGAACACATTCCTACGCAATATACAGATTGGATTGTTAATTTCTTCTCATCAAGATTCTTAAAACTTGGTGACTCCATTAAAGAAGTCAATGGTGGTTTGCCTCAAGGCTCCTGCCTCTCGCCTATACTTTTCAATCTGTACACCAAAAGGCTGCATCAAATCAATGATTGCCATACGACTGTAATTCAGTTTGCTGATGATTTTGCCATCATCTCAACTGGGTACAACATAACTGAAGCTAGGAACAACTTACAGGTAAAGGTCGATAACTTTCATTTGCTCTGTCAGGATCTAGGTCTTAATTTCAATCCCAGCAAATCTGCAGTTATGGTTGCTGGGAGGGGAAGACGTAACAACATCTCGGTAACATGCAATAATAGCAGTTTTCCGATAAAGGAATCCATCACCTTTTTAGGCAGAGTCCTTAGTGCCAATATGTCAGACAAATTGCACATTGCAAAAATCAGGGACAAGTCAGACAAAAGTCAGCTTCTGCTACATGCTGTAACCACCATTAAATCAGGTCTCAAACCCAAAATCTCTTGCAACATCTTCAAATCTTTCATCAGATCTCAGCAGGAGCACGCCATTACCAGTTTTTCAAATCTAAACATTGGCAATAGCAAATCTCTTAATACTGCACAGACGGACTGCCTTCGCCGATGTGTGGGTGTCCCTCCAAAAACATCTACGCACCTGATTTTTGCTCTGGCTGGTATTTTACCGCCTAAACACAGAGCTAAGATTCTTACAGTCAGAGAACTGCTGAAGGTTAAAGTGCTAAATCCGACTCTTTATGATAATGTCACTCTGTCTAACGCAAGGACTGCTTACACAGCCGTGTACCAAGAATTTAGGGACCTTTTCGACAATTATACTGAAAATAAAAAATACAAACACAGTCCTAAAGCTGCAATTTGTTTCTCAGTCTTTGACAGGAAAAAAAAAGACATCTCAAACGAAGAATGTAATGCCATATTTCAAGCCAAGCTTGAAGAGTGGGTGTTAGATGGGTGGAACATTCTTTCCACTGATGCCTCCATCAATGGTGATAGGATAGGTATAGGTATCTTGGATTACCCTAGTAACAACAGCTATAAATTTAAGATTGAAAATAATTCCTCTTCTGTTTTTGCAGAACTTGTAGGAATACTAACAGCAGTAAAGATATCAAGTAAAAAAAGATATAATAAAACTGTTATTCTCTGTGATAGTCAAGGGGCCTTAAAGGCTCTGAAAAGCAATGAATCAAATTCATACTTAACAGACGAAATACACCTCAATATAGACAATTCCTTCACTAGCAACTTTGTTTTGCACTGGATACCCGGTCATAAGAACATTGCTATTAACGAAAAGACTGACTTACTAGCCAAATCAGCCACTAGCGTGGGTAGAATAGTTAACATACCTCTCAGCTTCGATGAAGTAATTAGAACAGTTAAGATTAGAGTCCAGATCGACTGGAATAATGAGTATAAAGAAATATCAAAAATTAAAGGGGCGTATTTTGCTTCAATTTATAGCGAGATTCCAGTCAAACCGTGGCACTGGGCTCTTGACTGGCGTGCCAAAAATATAAAGGTCATAAACAGACTACTTATTGGACGTACCTATGATCACGTCTTTTTACATAGGATCAAAGCCAGAAATTCCAACATCTGTGAAGTTTGCAGTGTTCTCGATGATGCGGAACACGAAATTTTCTACTGCCAGAGACATGCTAGTATTAGGAAAAAGTACAAGATTTTCAAGCGATTTAATAACATCAAGGAGTTATTACTCACAAAAGAGCCTCTTTTCTTTAGAGAATTGGCGAAATATATTGATGAGGCCAATTTGGAGTTTTGAATCAAAGCACATGGGATCAATTCAGGTCAGGCAACTCGGTGCTATCGGAAGTCACTTTGAGGAGCAGCCTTCTGTTGTTCCTACTCTCTGGAGCAACCTTCTGTTGCTTTTTTTCTGTGATAATTTTCATACAAACTAATCTCAAACAAACATATCACTTTAATCTTAGAATACCTGTAAAACGTAAACATTAAAACATACACACTACACTTTCTAACCCTTACATTGTATAATTGACATTTTATTATTAATTTCCTTGTAAAACTCACGCACACGAATACACTTTTAAACTAAATATTATACTGAATAATTACCTACACCGTTAACACCAATCTAATGTACTTTGTTAAAATCATTACACCTAACATTACTTTGTAAAATTAATATCACCGAGAACATCATCTTAATGCAACACCGTGCATGCCCTCATCAACAAAACCTTGGAAT